CAAATTCCTTTCACTGTCCCTTGCTGAATTATACAATTATCTTTGGTTTAACATAACATATACAATGTTCACTTTATCAAAAGGTAGAACTATTTAGCCATCATTTTTAAAAAAAAATTATCCACTTATTGCATTAGCCATATAACTTTTGCCCTTTTATACAGTAACTCCAAGATTTCAAAGTAAACACTACTTTTTATCAATTTTAAATTACAGCCAAATACTTTTCTTCACATGGTATCATATGATCATTACGGATGGACTCTGGTATGATCATTACCAAGCATCCTGAGGATGTTATTTAATCTCTCAAATTTATTTTCATGAATTATTTTTTTTTAATTATAGGAGAGCTGGTAATAAGTCGTTTGCTAGATTGGTTAATGACCTTATTAATCTATATAACTTATACTTTAGCCTTATTTGAGCTTAAGATTAGCAACGATAAAGCTGACAAAATCATTAAGAAAATTAATCTAGATAAAAATGAAAAAAGTAGATGCTATTGATTTCTTTGGTGCCATATGGTGCCTCTGGAACTCTAATAAAATAAAGACTTTCATGGTTGCTAAATATAGATTTATTGTACATCTGAAAATTACTAATCTAGGAAGGAAGGATTGGTTATTATAAAAAAAATGATTTTTAATACAATCTAAATTAAATATATTATTCTAAAATACTTCTCAATTAATAAATCCAAATATAATTAATCTATAATAACTAATTTTTAAATAAATCACATAATATTTTTTTACAGCTAATCTATGCGCGCTAGTTTAGACAGAGTTGGTGATTTAACGTTTTTTGTGGTTTACGTTAACTCTTAATTAGCAGGTGAGCCCTTCTTGAACTACACAGAATGAGTCAAGTTTTGGGATTAATAATTAAAGTTAGGTGCGTGTTCTTTACTACAATATCTAGAAAAATTGGTTATTAGTTGTGTTAAACACTAAAATTTAGAGTAGCACATGGGACAGTGTTTAACCGATGATATCTAATCTCACTGAGGAGCCCACAAAATACAACAGGGCAGTGATTTGAAGACCAACAATTCCTGTCCATTAGAGACCACTTAACAATTTAGCATGTGGATGTGATTTTTCCTTCTAATGCATCATCAACACAACACTTATCTATTCTTCATCTTTTCCCCTCTTCTTAGCCCCTTTCTTGTTTATAAATTAGATTGAATCATTACAAAGCTGCATTATTGCACTAAATCCACCACCACAGATCTGTTTAATTGCTTGAAGGTAATCAAAGTAAACAAGTCAAAAGTTGAATAAATTATTGAATATATAGGCTATCTGTGACATGGATTTAATTCTCTAAAGTGAGAAAGTATTTAAAATGAGAAAGTGAGTTTTCATTTTTTTATTTAAAATTTTATTATATATAATAAATATTTAAATTTAAATTAATAATAGATATATATTAACTTTTTTGTTATACACATATTCTCACTTCAAAATGAGCTAAATTTTTATGAAATAAACTAAATGCTTCATTTTTCTTTTCTTTTAGAAGAGAAATTGTGAAAAGCAAACAGCTTCACAGAGAAATGTTTCAATGAGGAGCAGCAAGGGGAATTTTGAATTAATCCCTTTTCTTGAGCATCTTACATCAAAGGGACCACAACAAAAGTCAATTTTGTATTATGGCAAATCAATGATTGGTTAGAAGGTGGCACAGTAATTCACAGGGTACTTTGGCAAAATCAATCTTTGCCATTGATGCAATGGCATTTAATGTCCTTGTCTAAACTTTGTGTTTCCCAAATACCACCTTATATTAGATGAGCGATTCCAAATTAACCAGAAATGAATTTTTCTAAGCAGCTCTGCTAAGTAAAGAATTCAAGGAAATATATGAATAGGACTCTTTTATTTCTCTTCGAACCTAATTCTAACTAATTATGTGCTATTTTAATATCCATTGTTTGCTATTTATGCTATTACGCATTTGTTAGTTTAAGTAATAAATAGATGAAAACTATGATTTATTTAAAACGTGCATGCAAATACGCATTTATGGTATATATCAGATGTTTGACTCTCAAGTTTAAAAATTTGTAAATAAATTATTATTTATTTTTAAAATGTGTTTGACTCAAACAAGAGAAATGAAAATAGCTTGACACTAAGTGAGTAGTAATGCTAAATACTTGGAGTAAGTTCTTTAGATAATAATAATAATAATAATAATAATGTATCAAAACTATCCTAAAATAATATTATGTAAACAAAATAGAATGAGATAGCATATAAAATGTGTTTTATATTAAGTGTATTCTAAATTTATGAAAAGCTATACGTAAAATTAAATAAAAAAGTTATACGTTATATCGTTTATACTTTTTAATTATATATATATATATATATATATATATATATATATATATATATATCTGTGTGTGTGTTTAACTTTAAATATTTACATAATTAATTTTTTTATAAATAAATGAGATTGATTACTGACCGTTAATTTAAATGTACTTTTAAGTAAATTAATTTGATATTTATATAAAAATAAAATTAATTTGGCTCATAAAAGAATTTCACGGTTTTAGAGTGTTGTTCAGAGTCCTTCCTAATTTGATTCCTAAAGACGTTTGTAATACTAACTTTCTTAGGATTATCTCTTGTTCTTTGCTTAGTTTAGGCCTCTGTCCAATTGGAAATAGATGTTTACCTCGTTTAATTTCGCAAAGATTAATATTCACTGTTAAGTTATTTTATATTATTTTTATGATAATTTATATTAAATTTCATATAATTTTAATATTTATGGATATTTTATATAAAATTAAATATTTATATTATTAAAATATATTACCCGCTTAAAATAAATTAATGCAATAAAGTAATTATTAATTTTATTTTTATATGAAATTTTATAAAAATTATTAAATAATATAAATGTTATCGTAGTTAAGTTTAAAAGTCCATTGCTATTAGTTTTTATTGGTTAAAGGGTCTATACTTTCTCTCTGGTCTTTGGCAGGAATCAGAGAATGGTATTCCAATACATATTTTGTCAAAATTTTCGTACCATTCAGTATTATATAAATAATATATACTGGGCCTTGGGCTAACTAACGGTAAGTTGACTTGAGTTGACACTTGTACAAGAAGATATTTTGATACGTACGAATACGCACAACATGCAGTAAGTGCTAGAAAAGGAAACGAAATAAATGAGAGATTTTTGTTTTAATTTTAAAAAAATGCTAATAATATATTAAGAAAAATAAATAAAATAATTATTTTTTAATGATAAAATATTCAGTAAATTGTATTAATTTTCTATGAATATTTGAAATAAGCAATATCCAAAAATTTTAGATCTATACATTCGCCAACAACACATTTTCCAGATAAGTAACCTGACAACTTGTTTAATTTATAATTATTTGTTTTTAAAGCTTTCATTAAATTAATTAGCTAAGTTAGGCTGATCATTAAAGCACACTTGATTAGGAAGATATTGCAGGTAAGATAAAGTTAGGTGTGGCTACGAAGAGGCCAATCAAATAGCAAATATTGCTCAGCCAAAAGGCAATTGATGAATGAATTATTATCTAAATCATTCAATCAAGTGTCCCATTGTCATTCGCATCATGCTTTAAATATGTACATTTCATGTTTAAATTCGTTTATAGTTTTTAGTCTTAATCCTCATTTATTTTGATCAGGCAATTTTGGGTTGACCCAAATGATGCCAATTTATGCCAAACTTTAGGTTGGGAAGATTCGTTTTCCATGCAAGAAATTAATGAAGGAAAAAGGGTTAGGTATTATGACAGGAAAAGCATTTTGAGTTGATAATGCTAGTTGGCTGTGTAATACACAAACATGCAATTAAGATGTTGGTAATAAAATGTTTACACATAAGTCTTATTACCGACGTTTAAAATTGATAAAAAAGTTTTTTTTTTTTTATTAAAAATATACATTAAAATTGTAATAAATGTATAAGAATGAATGTATTATTACATTTTTTAACAAAAAATATTTTAAGTTTTGTGATAAGAATGGGTATAAATTTGAGAATGGGAATGGTACCAACACATACTTCAATAGAGTATCATACACCCATTCTTATACTAGTATTTTGAAAAAAGTATTCATATATGAACCAATACTTGCTTGAATAGTAATTTTCATTTTCATTTTCATACTTTATGGGTACCTACATATTCATAGTACTCATACATATTGATACTCGAGTTAAATTAAAATAAATATCTCAAATAAATTTTTTAATTAAGTTTAAATTGCATTTTAAATACAATAAAATAATTAATTACACAATATAATATATATCAAGCATTTACAATAACTAAAATAATTCAAATAAGTTTTAATTTAGGTTAAGAAATCTAAAAAATAATTTCATGAACTTGTATTTTCAATCCTACAACAGGTAACAAATAATTTTTTAAATTACATTTTGATATATATATATATATATATACCATTTGTTATGCAATCAACATTTTAACTAGCGATTGAATATTAAGGTTCCAAATTTAGATACCGCACACAGTGTGAACCTGATGGACTGACTCATGGAAATTGAAAAAATAAAAAGGTCAAGAAGCAAACAAACACAGCGATCCAATTCTCTGAAGATCGAAGCAGGAAATCATTCAACTTTTGGTTTGGACTTTACTCTTTACACTATCCATCATTTTCGGTCCCATATACTGCTAATGGTCAACAAACCTTTCAAGATTTAAAAAAAATGAAAAAGAGAAAAAGAAGAGAGTGCATTTTTAATTTAGGAAAATACTAAATTGAACATACTTAGTTCACATGCTGGCACATTACTATTATCAAGTCTTCAATCTCAAAACATGACATGAACCTTAAATAAAAGGGTGTACTAAGCATTGCACCGTGTAGCAAACTTGACCTTTACTCTACATGACGGTCACTCCCAGCCTAGAGAATCCAACAACGGTCCCTTAAAGCAACTGGGACACAGAGAATATCAGAAAATTATGCAAAAAATGAAACTGTGGTCTCAGTTCTGTGTAGTGTAGAGAACAACAAAAGGAAAAACAGAGAAAAAAATAAAATTAAAAGTCAATTACTTTTCTTTTTTCTTTTCTTTTCTTTTTTTTTTTTGGACAAATGCTGTAAATTCAAGGGGCCAACTCAGGCAAATTTCTGAGACCCACAAAGGTACAAAGACAATCATCAAAAGCGAAGAACTGGAAAAGTGGAAACACAGGCCGCGAGCCATCATCCATTCATTCCTACATCCTCTTCCTTCTCTTTTGCTTTTTATTTTTCGGGTTTTGTGGTGTTTCCCTCTACTTTACAAATTAAAGAGTGGATCACAGTCACAGGTAACAAGTTTACAACTCTATACTATACTATACTGCACTGCACTGATTGTCCTCTCTTGCTACAACTCTCTGTTTACTGGTTCCCTTCATGCTTTGCACTGTGGCTCCTGTTTAATCACTTTTCACACTCTGTGGATTCATTTTAGTTGGATTGGATAAAGACATGAATTTTCAGAGGTTTCTCATATGACACCATGTCTATGTCCTGGTAAGTTTAGTGCTTTTGGGGGTGTAGTGACTAGTGTCAAGAGAAAGGAACCATTTTTATTTCTTTCTTTTTTATTTTTGGCTTTTTGCTCTCTCTCTCTCTCTCTCTCTCTATTTATTGTTACTTGGATGCTGATCTCAGCTAGAGGGTATTCAGGGAGCTTGAGATGAGAACTCTTCGGTTTTACTTTTGAAAATGCATTAATACCTTCTTCTTTTTTTATCTCTCTTTGAAGGGAAATTAAAGTAAGGGTGTAACTAGTTCTGCTATTCTGGTTGAGATTCAAATCCTTTTGAAAAAAAAATGAAATAGCATTGCTCATGTTCCATGCAATTTGTGTGAAACTGCAGTGATTTTTTAAGGGTAGAGATAGATCAAGTTCAAAGATTGTAGCTGTTGATTTTGTTTGTTTCTGTAGTTATGAGGGAAAAGCACAGTATTCAAAGGGAGAACTGAACTTGCGGAAAGAGTGGAACAAAATTTGCCGAGAGATTTTCATTTTCTTCCCCTTGACTTGACTTGACGTGCAAGTACAACCAAATCGTTGTTTGTTACATAGGAGAAAGCGAGGGTTTTGTTTCGTTTTTTTATTTTTCTGCTTCCACTGCATCTTTTTCACTTCTTGTGATGCTATCATATCTTGTTCTACCTTTATTAGCTGTGTTACTGTTATTGAATCCTTGTTAGACATGGCGGAAATTAGGCTTACAAGGGCAGAGCGAGGCCAAACAAAGGTTAAGAATGTTCCGATAGCTGTCACCCCAGAAGGATTTTGGTGTTGCCCTTCTCCTGTTGTGTTTCAGAAAAGCCTTAAGGCTCAAAATCCTCTAAATAAGCCCAAACCCTCTTCACCCCCACCAAAAACTAGTGTCCAGAAAAAGCCAGTGCCTGTGGCAGTGAGTGAGAGAAGAGGTGCTGCACCTGCACCTGCACCTTCAAGATTGATGCTTTCTGATGATCAACAATGTGCTACTGCTCCAGAAAGACCGCCACCTACTACATCTGTGGCTGCAGAGAGACCCCCGAGACCCAAAATTGAAACTTTGCCGAAAAAGGTAGCTATTGAGTTTGGTGAACCTGGAACTTGTGATATGAAGGTGGTTTTATTAGGAAAGCAGGGTTTCTCTGTCAAGTTGAGTGTGCACAAGGATGTTCTGACTGAGAAGAGTAGTTTCTTTTCTGAAAAACTCTCTGAACAGTCGAGTTTAACATGTCTCCAAATTGGTGATTGTGAGGATGTTGAGATATATATTGAAACTGTTGGTTTGATGTACTGTAAGGAGATGAAGCAGCGGCTTATGAAGCAAAGTGTATCTCGCATTCTTCGAATACTCAAGGTAATGTCCCATCTTTGTCTTCCTTTGTTGTTTTTCTTTAATCTACCTTGACTGCTGTTACGCACTCCAATGCAATTCTGTTGTACAACGCATTTCTGAGGATGAAATATGTGGTGTGGTGTTGCTAATACTCATTTGTTCTTGTAGATATTGTGATTTTGAGATTGTCTATGGTGTCTCTGTCTGCTTATTTGTTATTCTGTAATACCGTCATTGCTTGGAAGCATAATTTTAATATTTCTGCTTAAGAGTAATTATACTTCGGGTGTTGAATTTATTATACTCCTCTCATTAAAATTTATTGGATTTCAAAATGAAATTAATTAGAAGTTGCTGTAGTGAAATGAAACAGAAACTGGTGCGTTACAGTTGTTTCAAGAATAGTAATTTCTTAAAGGGCGATTGGTAGGTGCATTTTTCTTGGGAGGCCTTTATTGTTTTGACTACATGATCGCTTTTCCACTTGGTTCTTAAAAGAGAAAGTGCTTCCATTATACATGAAATTTATTAGGTTGTGTTTGTGTTTTCTATGGTAAACAATTGGATACCATATACTGACAGTTGACATGTGTGTCAATTATTCTAATCCTCATGTAACTATGTAACCCCCAGACAAACACTCGTTTTATATTCTAATGGGGAGTTTCTATAATTATTCTTATCAAGTATGTACTTATGTACTCTTCAAAGGTATATGCATAACTATCTTGTAATGCATACTTGTATGTAAATACAATTGACATGGAAAGATCAACAGTTGCATTGCAGAGTGGAGTGTTCCATGAATGAGAACTGTAGTGATCATCATGATATAATCATGGTGTCACATGGGGTGTTTTATTTTTCCAAAAACAAATAGTAGATTTCTGAGGTAGTTTTTATTGCCACAACATCATATTATTGTTGTTGGTCAAAATATTCGGAACCTGTCCCTACAAGGTTTGATTATGAAAGGCTGTGGCTAAAATCACTGGAGTCACTTTTACTCTATAATAATAATTCATTCATCTCAAATCTGACTCATTATTATCCTTTTGCATGTGGAATGAACTGTTTGCTGTTCTTCATTGTGTGAATTTTAATGCCCTACTGTTTAGATAGCATACACCATTAAATTAAACCCATTCATACTTCAAAGATCCTTCTTTTTATATCTTATTTTCTTTGTTGTTCATATTGATTTTGATCCCATTTGTGGTATGTTTTCCCTAAAAGTGGAGGGGGCTCAATTAGATCCAGAGGCAAGCCCCAGAATTTGTTGGTGATCATTGTTAACACCATCTTTCTCAGCAAAAACAAAGAGGTTACTTCATAAAGAAAAGCTTGCTGTTACAGGTTGACATAATTAATACTCTATTATGCACTTAAACACAGTTCTTAATGGAAAGCTAGTTTTTGAAGATGAGCTAGCATTGAGGTCAGAATAAAAGAATAAAGTATCTAAGTTAATGTGATCCTTGCTGTATCTGCCGGGCATTTTACCCCATTTCTTCATATGTTTTTCTATCTATGCGTATATTCTACCACAATAATTCAAATATGAACTATTATGAAATGCTTTCATGGCTTTTCGGCTTTGCAAAGATGTAACTGTAAGGGATAACTTCTTAGTGTCCAAGTTAACTACTGCATCTCGGGTTGTTCCCCAGTTTTGTTGACTTGACGAACCCAACTAAAATTTGTGGGTTGATTTGGGTAGACAAGTCAATTCGGGTAAAACTTTGGAACCCAATGAAATATGGGTGAGGTCGCGGGTTTGGAATGTTAAAACTCAACTTAACCCAATAGACCCGATGACCCATCACACATGAATTTTTTCCTTATTAACTCTGCTCCATTTTGATTTCTTGCGTTTGTTTGAAGTGAAGAATTAAAGATTGATAAGTGATTTGATATTTTAATTTTTAAATAGTGTATTGCTTTAAGTTGTGAAGATGAATATTGAATTTTGTACTTCTTATAATATTGAATTTTGTACTTTATAAGAAGTTGTCAAAGTTAGTTGTTTACTTTGTATTACTTAAACTTTTTATTTTAGATGAATATTAAACTATTGTTACAATATTATGTTTTGTAATGAATAATTTCTCATTTGGTTTTAATAGATATGTTATTTGAGATGTTGGATTAGATCATCAATCATACACAAAATTTTAATTTTTCTATAAAATGTTGTAGGTACTAACATAACTACTCAACACATTTGTGGTTGGTCACCCGACCAACCACAAATGTGTTGAGTAGATATATATATATATATATATATTTTTTTTTTATTTATTTATTTTTTTTTTTTTTGCCAAAACAAACCTAAACCACCCATGAAATTTTGATCAAGTCGGATCATTTTTTATATCAAAACTCACCCGACCCAACCCATGAACACCACTAATTTTGCATCCCTAGTCTCTGACTTGTAAATTTTACAAATTGTTTTTTGCTTGAATTTCCATAAAATGCTGGATCATAGCATGTATATGTTGCTTAGCAATAGAATACCTTCCCCTTGATCAATAAGTATAAACTATAGCACATGAACATGATATCCAACTTTATGCTAGGATTTGTGAAGAACTTGAATTTATTTGAATGAATATTTTATGATCATCATATGCATAATTTTTATTTTTTTTTGTGTTTCTTATCCCTAGAATTACTTGGTAGTTAGCATTTGGAGAAAGAGCTGTTAAATTTATTTTGACAACCTAAAAATATTATTCCCTCAGGTTGCAGAATTCCTTGGCTTCAGCTCATGTATCCAATCATGTTTGGAGTACTTGGAGGCAGTCCCTTGGGTTGGAGAGGAAGAAGAAGAAAAGGTGGTCTCAACTGTCCTTCAACTCCAAGCTGAAGGAATTGGGGTCAACCCTGTACTAAAACGAGTTTCTTCTGACATTTCTAATGTCCCAAAAGACACTCTTTCCCACATCATTGAACTTGTTCTCAAAAGCAATGAGGAAAGAGGTCGCCGAGAGATGAAATTGATAGTCCTAAAGCTCCTCAGGGAGAATAACAGACTTCCAAGCTATGCACGTTCATCTGACATCTGCAATGACAGGATTTATAGATCATGCAAAACCTGCTTGGATTCGTTATTGTCACTGTTCAAGAAGGCTGCAGAACCGGCCTTTGCAGACAAACCAAGTGATGACCGGGACCACGTGACCAAGCATATAGCTCTTGAAGCCGATAACCTGTCATGGTTGCTTGAGATCTTAATTGACAAACAAGCGGCCGATGAGTTTGCACTGATGTGGGCAAACCAGCAGGAATTGGCTTTTTTACACGAAAAGCTGCCAATTGTGTCGCGTTATCACGTTAGCTGCATTTCTGGAAGACTATATGTTGGCATTGGAAGAGGGGAGCTGTTGCCATCAAAGGACACACGCCAGTTGTTGTTACAGACATGGCTCCAGCCTCTAATGAACGACTATAACTGGTTACAGCATGGATGCAGGTCATTTGATAGGAAACTTGTGGAAGAAGGAATTGGGAGGACTATTCTCACCTTGCCTCTTGAGGATCAACAAAGTATTTTGCTTTCATGGTTGGGGAGTTTCTTGAAAACTGGTGATAGTTGTCCTAATCTTCAGAGAGCTTTTGAGGTCTGGTGGAGGAGAACTTTCATTAGACCTTATGTGGAAAACCAAGGTAATGTTGCTGTGTCAGATAGTTCAATTTCAATGCTGCCAAAGCAGCACGAATGATAGCATGTTTAGATTTACGCCGAAATCATTATGGATCCATGCTCATTACTTTACTAGATATAATTCATGCGTGGATCCATGTTTACAGATTTTTCAATGTGTTTGCAGACACTGAAAAAAAGTGTGAAATAGGGTCAGTGAATATGTTTGAATGGTAGTGGAATTTCACTTTAAATTAACCAGTTTGAAGAATTGTAAAGATGTTTGTTGATTGCAGAATGTGGATTAACCTCCTGCAGCTAACAAGGTAAGTAATGGGACGTTTCTTGTGTGCATTGCATGAGTTGACTATGAATTCTTTGAGGAAGACCTCATTGAATTGATATTTCAGTTGTGGGTTTTTGTATAATCTCTTTAAGGAAATGGAATGGAAATGAATTTAGTTTTTCCTGATGAATTTCGTTCTCTTGTTTATTTCTACCTTAGCATTGTGGTATTCAATTTAATGATTAGCTTTTGCCTTATTTATTCTTGTTTTCCTACGGCTTAACACAGCAAGTATTAAAACACAAGTAATGGTTAGAAGGTAGTGGCTTCTTATTTTACTTCTCGAATTCCAAAACATTTTCAAATAAGTATTATTTATTTCTAGCAATTTTATTAAAATCAGTTTAAGTTAGTTTTAAAAAAGAAAAGTATATAGGTACTATTGCAAAAATAAATATTTATTATATTTATATATAATAGTTTTAAATTTTTTGAAATCAATCATAAAAATTGATAGTTAACAAACTATTCAAAATAAAAATATAACTACCTATTATCTCTTGTGCCCAAATCCCCACCATAACCTTCCATCTCAACATAACCTTACCCATAACGTGCATTTGCATTTGGTTAATGAGACATGATTGGATAGATTTTTGTATGTTTGCAGAAACTTTAGGAGAGCTGTGGTATTAAAGGCATTTATTTAAATGTTAAATTCTTCATGCCAAACAGTCACTAAACATTTTCTTCCTTTTAAACTCGTCCGGGCATAAGTCACTAAATGGGTATATAAGTTCATCTTTTGTGTCATCAATCATGTCGTAATAAAATCCTTTCATAATGACCATGAATAATATATTACTCTTTCAAAAAAGGATTGGCGACAAAATAGTATATTATCAGAACTATGAATATTTTTGGGTTCAATAAAAAAGGATTGGCGACATGGAACTGAATAAGACTTTGCTTTGGGTCCTAGAACTGAAAACAGGACTTGAGTTCATATGATATGTGATGTTTAATTCTTTTGGTCAACAATGGCATGTTATATGAAAAAGTCACTAGGCCAAGATTACCTCCTCAAGCCCGGGCTTTAAGCTTTTTAAAACAATGTTTTCAATCATGAAACTATTGTGTGTTTGGCCTCAAAAAAACACATTGTTTGTTCGTGTTTATCTTTTTAATCAACAGAAAACCATTTTTTTAAGTACACAGATGTTGACTAGGCCTTGGGCCTTGTCCTAACTCTTAACATTTTATCTTAGCAAACTAGTGAAATTGACATAACGGGAAAGTTTACCAAAATGACGTTGTTTTTGTTCACTTACTAAAAATGACTTAAAAACACAGGTTATGAACCCAAAGAGAGTGACAGAAGAAAGCCCAGCCCATTAGGATGGAAATACTAAAAACTAGTCAACACACACAACCACGTCTGTATAGAAAAAAAAAAAAAAAAACACCACAAACACATGTGTGTACGTCGACTAAAGGAAAAAAATAGATAAAGGCACATGTATGAATAATAAATTTAACATTTTCCCATCAATATTTTTACATCATCTTGATACTTGAAAAATAAAATAAAAATAAAGGTCATCTTGATGCTAGTTCTTGGAAAAATAAAGACAAAGAAATAGTTTGTTAAAATGTATAATTTTGTTGCTATCTTATAAAACAAGTGGTAAAAATGATACAAAGAAAATAATAGATAAATATAAGAATAAATTCCAAGGCTAAATTACTCTTACAACCGGCAAGTCTTGATTTAAGATTTTAAAACAAAATTTTAAGATTTGATCCCCACCATTGATATGCTTGTAAAGTTGATGCTAGAAATGAGTTTTATTAGATGAAATTTATTGAAAACTATTAAATAATGTGAATCTATTTTTTTTATTCAATGAGTCTTATCCATAATTTAGTGATTTTTAATAAATTTTAATTAAGAATATTAAATAATGTGTTTGAAAAATTGTATTAAAAAGCGTGAAGCTTCTCAGGATCATGTATGATGGTATATAAAAACTTGTGTGTACACAAATGAAATTAGAACAGCACATACATTTTTGTGTGGGAACATGACAGTATCTGTGATTGTAAATTTGTAATTTGTGTCTCTCATTATGTTCATGTCAATGTGAATTATATCGACCGTACGATATGTGTGGTATCTACTTGGTAGCAGTACATGAGTGAAAAAGGAGAATTTCTGGCAAAGATGCTCCAAGTTTCTTCACATATGTCTATGTATATGCCTCAGCTTTCGTTAATTTAGACCATAGGTGACGCTGTAATTTTATGCCTCAGTTCGGGTAAGTGATCTTATTTGTATATATTTTGTATTTAGACCAAAGGAAATAATCATTATGGGCATATATAGATGGTTGGTTTTAATTTCATGTGTCCTACTCGGAGCTGTATCTGTCTCTAAACCCCCAAAAGTGAACACAAAAAAGCGAGGGACATTCCTTAAGTCTCTTTCGTAGATTTCATGTCCACATCACACATGCAGCGAGCAGAAATTAAAACTACTTTTAGTTTTACTCTCTTTGTGAAATGACTATCTCATGGGAATTCCAAAAGATACCCTTCATCTTCTAAGTTTTTAGCTTCGCGGGTTCTGAATTTATATATTTAAATTGAAAGTTCTTATTACAAATGAAATACGCACGTCTGAGATGTTTAAAGCTACTCTTAGTAGCATTAGAAATAGCACACGTCCATGGTGGGTAGACCTCGAACTAAATATGCTATTAGTAATTTTAGATACTTATAAAATCAATTTTAAGAATTAATGTTAACAAAATTATATTATTATTTTTTCAGATGAAATTGAAATTAAAGTTGCTTTCTAATATTACCCACCTACTACAAAATCGCAACGGTTTCAAAAGTAACCTGAGCTGAGAATGGAAAAATCAAAATAATCAATTAATGTGTTAGATACCGAGAAAGATTGAAGAAACATTCAAACTTGAAAGTTGCATAGAAAAGGAAGAATAGCACACTCCCCCCCCCCCCCCCCCCCTTATGAACAGTATTGGTCAGAGAGCTGCCTCCATTTCTACTAGCTTAATTTCTCCGTTTGTACATGTTCCCTCTTAACCCTCTCAAGACATTGTCTTTGCCTTTTCAATGTTTATTTGTACGAGTTAAATCTAGATTCTCTCTGCATGCATATTTGCACAGAGAATTAATACTAAAAGCCTGGTTTTACCTATGAACACCTCTATGAAACTGGCATGATATAATATATGGTTTAATTAAACGGCTTTCTTCAGAAGGACTTAAAATAATGCACAGTGGTCCTCGCCTGACTCTAGATGAATGTGCGCTTTGTAGGCCCTTCTAAACCCCACCTCGCCCGTAGTTTTTCATAAATTCAATCAATGTCATTTATTTTTCGAAACTTTACTTTTACCAAAATCAAAGTTTCTAAGGTTTCTATATTTTTAAATTTTGGGTTAATTGGTTTGTTGATTTGTAGTGAGTGCACTTAATGATGATCAAATTGTCTTCATCAATGACAGAATGAGTTTAAGAGAAGTATTGGGTTATCTCTCCTTATTCAACCAACACGTAAAGATAAAATAGAGAGATAGATTGTCACATCATCTAAATAAAATTAATAATGTAAGCCATCTCCATCATACAGCAATATTATTACACTTGTATATTACTTTCTACAAGATCAATCATGCATGCATCAAAATAATTAATATTTTTCAAAAACAAAAACTCATAACAATTAGCATGCATCCGTGTGTTAGATAATATTTTGTTATTCAAATGATCCATATGAGTTAGTATTCGTAATCGATTAGGGGAAGAAATCAAGAAAGGGATAAGGGACCAAAGTGAAGAGGAGCTAGCAAAGCAGAGCAGTGTTAAACTCAGCAAAATGATTACGAGATAATGCTGCTAGCTAGCACTGGAGGAGAAGCAGAACCGTACTCCCTTATCGGAATTTGCAACCATTGTATTTTCCATGGAAGAGAATTGGTACCACCACGTGGGCTATCCAAAGCCAACGTATCTAAGCCACGTTCCACTTTATTCTTTACCTAATTTTTGCATAGGAGATATAGGTTGGTCCATGCCCAAAACATAATTAATTAATATAATAATAGTTTCTCGTGTGATCGAGTTTACATCTAAATTTGAAGCTGTGCTACATTGACTATTCCTTATTACCACATTATTCTCCAAATAAAAATTTGTCTCCCGTGTCTATTTTAGGTGGTTAACAATAATTATTTAGGTATAATAGTGATAAGAGAAGAATTTATAGTTGCTTTCATCTCATTTTCTTGATTAATTTAAAAGAATTATAATTGGGGACCCACCTATGGGGGCATATGAGGTTGTGATGAGTAGGTTGTGTTTTTTGTGGCAAATGGGAAATGGGGGGCCCAGTCCAATTTTGGTGTCATATCTTCCCTGCAACATGCTCATTGGAGCTCAGAAGAGTGGGGTCCATATCAAAGTTTCGTCCTCTTTCATTCGCCATTGAACGTTAAGTTATTTGTTGCACAGCTGAGCCACATAAGACAAATAAACCATTCTCTAGGGGTTGTAGAGGTCCTATCTATCTTCTCCTTTTCGCTGCGTTATGTACTATATAAATTTATGTAGCATGTCAGATTATATATTATTTTTTAATTTTTTGTGTATATATTTAAAAATTAATTTCTAAACATACTACTTCATGTAGTTTCTTTCAGTGGTTAGACATTATTTCTGTTAATAAAATTGTTCATGAATCTATAATACCTTGTCATTCTGCAAAGGACCCTGCCTTCTCCATCTTCGTGTTAAATGTCAATGAACCAAAGACCCTACTATCTCCTTCTTGATGATGAATGTGAATGCATTGAAAATAATATGTTTACTCACTTAAAGCTTGATCAACACATCATTTTCTTCTTTGAACACGTCGCCATCTCATGTCACAATGAGAACACAATTAGTAATTAATTACCATAGAAATTTTGTAATTATAAATAGCAAAATAAAACTAAACTACCCACCAATTAATTGACTCAAAGATAAGGGCATTCAATTTCAGAGGCTCGAAGATAAGAGCATTCAATTAATTCACCATTACTTCAAATTCACAAATACCTTATTTTTTGGTACAATATAATGGGGAGCCAGGTTATATAGCGAGAGCGTGTGCACAGGCTCAGCTCCCCTTGATTTATTTTATGTAACTAATATTACTAAATTTATTAGTGTTTTTAGAGATGATATTATTTTCTCACTGTTGACATTTAGAATTATCTACTCTCTTTCTTTTAATATCTTTGTATGTTTTTGCCATTTCTTATTATTCTCATTTTGTTTGAATATACATTGATTTAGGGATTCTAGGTTGTTTAATGTAATTTTGCTAAAAAAAATTCAAATGTTACTATTGTATTCATTTTAATAAGCAAATAAAAATAATTAAACACGTAAATCAATATATTTAAATTATTTCAATTTAACTTATAATTTTGCTCAATAAATATCATTATTTTAAATATTAAAAAGAACCTTAGTTCAGATAACCATAATAAATTTGTATGATAAACTTTTATAATTACTAAAAAAAATATTTGTAGCATATTTTTCAATAAATTTTTTCAACACCTTATTCATTATTAATTGGATTTTCTATGTATCCCGCTTAAAAATAGTAGGCCCAAATTGTATTGTAAGATAATATGGAATTTAATAAATTAATAATGAAATGTGGTGAAGAAAAACATGTTAGCATTGTTACTATAAACAGTTATCATTTTTCAAGGGATGAAATTTATCAAACATTAAAATTGTGTTCAGGAGTATACGCATATTCTAATTATAAAACAAACTGTTGGTATAAATTTAAAAGATTTACATTAATAGGATGATATACTATTTCAATCTTTGATATATTAATAATACATATTAATACAATATTTATCAGTATAAATATAAATTTATAATGTCTATACTAATAATTTAATTTTTATTAAAAAAATATATTAGTATAGGCTAATCTAATTGACTAACTTTTTACAGTGTATTATTCAAACTACTAATATTGTTCTCACATACTAAACTTAGCCCTATCGTGGCTTCCTAATAAATAGAAGCGGATGGTCCATAGATCAGAAACCTTAGACATGTTCTCTCTGCACAGCCAAATATTCTGATAATCTATTAAATTGAACACTTCAGGGTCATGTTGGGGGATATTTTCTGAAACTAAATATTAAAGACAGTGACATTACTGAACCTCTGACCTTCTATTAGTAATTCTTAAATAAAATTTTTAAACATTTATTGTAGCTTCTCTTAACTTTACAGACTAAAGCTGCAATTTATATCTTTTTTTTTTCACAGCTTTATTTGTAAACTATAAACTATCTAGCAAACTAGTGCAACATCTCAATGAAAATCCCAAAACTTGTAACTTTATGAACTAACTCAGGTGAGAGTTAACCATGCATGTGTTGTAAAACAACCTTGTAAATTAATTTGAGAGGGATAAGAATAGATATTAGGTGAGAAGTGGTTGTTACTTTGTTTAAGGTTTTGTTTTGCTTTTACGGAACAAAAATGTGAATTTTGTTTACCTATACAGATGAATTCCCGTTATTACTGTATTCTACCCATTATTAGTTTTGTATATTAGAAACGGAATTAACAATTAAGTTGTAGTTGGATATATGATTAATCCTCCAAAAACACACCCCAAGTGTGAGGATTTGATTTTTCCCTTATGCATAAGCATCCAATTATGAAGCTTTATTTAGATTTGAAGAGAAGTAAGAATGACAGGAAATAAGGTGGAAAGTGGTACGAGAGAAAAGAAGAAGGAATATAAAGTAGGATGAATTTTTAAGTTATTTAAATTGAGAGAAATTAAGAAAAAAAGATAAAATAAAAGTTAGAGATTTATCGATGTTTGTTTGTTTAGATCAAAGAAAATAAACTCTAACTAGTATCTTTAAGATTTGATTAATGAATTAAAAATATTTTTTATTAAAAATATTATTAATATATTTTTTTCATATTTTTAATATATATTGACATAATCTTTATTCAAAAAAATTTTATTTATTGATTTTTAACCATCCTTAAAACATTGACATGCTTGTTAAAAATATGCAAGTTACACTAATTAGCTGAAAAAAGTATGCAAGTTGTACTAATCCAACAACTTGTATTAATAATATGCAAGTATTGCGTTAGCATAATTCTTATGTACAAATTAGCACATATACACTATGGTGCACTTTTTGTTCACACACCAGTTGCGTATGATTTTTATATTTTGTCTTAAATACAATCTTTCTTACATGCTCGAATCATGCTTGTTTGAATATTTTTCAACCCAAAAAAAATTGTGTAAAAGATAATTTGGTCTAGCAAGGTAACGTATCTTTGTGGTGTTGATTCCAAAGATTGACAGTCAAATCAATTAAGGACACTAGAAGGTTCAGTAAACCTTGTTTAGTGCTTAAAATTGACGTACAAAATGCATATGATTCTATAAATTAAAAGCATTTGATTCAAATAATGAAAAAAATAGGTTTTAATGAAAAAATGCAAAAATGGATGAGAGCCTGCATTGTTTTTACTACTATGTTAATCTTGGTAAATAGTAGTCTATTAAAGAGCTTAAGTTATAAAATAGGATTGGCAAAAAGATCCCTTACCCCTTTTCTTATATTTGATCGTAGTTGATGAATTACATAAATTAATAGAAAAGGCAAAGGAGTCAAATTTGTTAAAAGGATACTTAGTGGGGAAAAGAAAACTCGTTATCTTTCATTAGCAATATGTAAATGATGCTTTGTTCCTACTAAAAGAATTTTACAGTGCTTTAAATTAATATTAGACTTTAAACTAAACTTCAGTAAAAGTCAATTAACGGCGGTAAACTCTGACACAAGGTTATTGAAGGCGATTGAAAAGTACTTTTTGGACCTAACTCCAAATATGTCTTAATATGGCACCTCTAATAGATAGTACGAGGTAAATTAAGATTATTGTAGTGGAATAGCAAGATGACTTTTTTATTTGGACTAAAGAAGAGTGTAATTGATTTATTCTTTTAATCAAAGAATGCTACCAAAATTTATTTTTATTTATATCCGATATATTTTATAGTGATTTCATTTACACTTCAAAAAAATTCTTCTATCCCCACCCAAAATAGAGTAATCTTCATAAAAAAATTTCTAAAATGTTATCTATGTTCATTTCCTCTTACATAAGAAACAAGAAGCTCATATATTTGTGTTATAATGAAATCAAATCTTTCTCTTTCGAAAGTAGAATAACAAATTAAAACATAGTTGTGATGAGGATGAAAAGAGAGTGATAGATGTCTTTCTCTTTTTTCTTAACAATTTTTTTTTCATTTCCTGAGTCATTCTTATTTCAAGTTATTTTTCAGTAATTCTTTGTTATTAGAAAATAATTTTGGAGTGAAAATCATTTGTCTTAAACTATAAATCTCATCTCTTGCAGGTGACTACTATTTTGTTCTTTGTAGTTGCAATCATTAGCATAATACCCACCGTTTTAGTTACTAGTTTTATCTTATCCAATATTGATGTAAATACCAATATCATCATTCTCATTTTATTTTGTGAGTGAGTTGGAAAAGAAAAAAAAAGTTGTGACCTCAAGTTCCATCAAACAAAAATGTAATTCCATTATTACAGTTCGTCAGTAATACATGGATTCCTTGGAAGTTTTTGGAAAATTTTAGAATCCTTTATTGTATTCCGTTTGTCATTCCAAAACCCAACAATTTCTTGACCATGTTAAATTAGCTAAGTGAACATCAAGCCTTTTTATCAACAGATGTATAAAAGAAGTGTTATAAATGAGGTTAAACAATCTTTTTATTTTCAATAATCCACTTTTATATTATACTACATATTCATTTCACTTTTTCATAAAATATTTATTTGATGCTTTACAAGGATTACAAAAAAAAAAAAAGCGTTAAAAAAAACGTGATAACTTTTTTTTTCTTTAAACCAGCACCTTTATATATTACACTATATAAAAACTAATTTTTGTTTTTCTTAACCTTTTTTGAACTTGTCTTTTAAAAAAAAATTAAAAAAAAGCTAAATACAATTTTAAAGAGATTTACTTTGGTATATAATTTGTCAATCATATTTTTGAAATAAGAGTATTTTTTGAAGTTATCTTAAATTGGAATATTTTTAGGTGTTAGTTGTATTTCTATTTTCTTAATTTAACCTTGATTTAAATTTATATTTTAAAGTATTGATTTTTTTTTTTAATTTTAAAAAATTCCATCTCTTTAATTAAGTCTGATTTAACATAATAAGATTTTAGGCATTAATTAAAACATTTATTCATTTTAAACTTGTATAATTTGTTAAATTTAAAATATTTTAATATTATGATAAACGTGTACTAGTTATAAAATTAAATTAAATTAAGTCCTATTAAATTAGGGTACACAAGCAAATAAGAAATGAAAGTGAGCATCTGTTATTCTATTAATTAGATCAAGTCCTATCAAATTAATTAAGGTACAAAACCTTAAGTACATATATGAGATAGGAAAAAAGAAAATAGAAAACATCCTACTATACAATTTTACAAATCACCACAGAGCCTACCTTGCTAGCTAGCTGATTGTCCCACATAAGGATACGTTTCTCAATTTGTATTCCATTTTTCCTTTCCCTCCATAAAATGCAAATTAAATTAAGAGGGAGGGATTAATATAAGAGAGAAAATAAATAAAGGAAGGGAAAATGGTTTCTTTTGATATATCATATCATATTATTATAATATAATAATAAAGAGCAACCTCCTATACGTATCATTATTAGTTTGAATAATATGTGAAGTAATATAGGGAATTAAGTTTAAATGGCTCCAAAGTCCCTAACAGAGAAAGGGGTTTTCTCGGGCATGTTCCCAGCGTGACGTAGCCCTAAGGTGAGTGACACGTCACCAGCGGTGGTCCCAAACCTAATAAGAGTTGAACCAATGTCAGAAGTAGCAGAAGCGGTCCCATAATCCGTTGTCGTAACCAAGCTACCATGCCTACACGTTTCGTCGGTGTTGTTGTGTGGGGGCAGCTCCGAGGGTGGCACCACCTCAGAGGCGGTGGCGGCAACGGTGGTGGCGGTGGAGTTGGCTTGGTGTCTATTATTTATTGCTGCGAGTGAAGGGTCGCTATCTTGGGCATTGATATCGGATCTTTTGCCTGTTGGTGCTGTTGCTATTGTTGTTGGTGGTGATGCTGTTGGTGGTGGCGCTGTTGCTGTTGATGCTGTTGTTGAGGGCGTTGGAGTTTGTGCTGCTTGGTGGCCACTGTTGCTGCTGCTTTGGTTCCTTTCTCTCTCTTCTGCACCTTCTGCTTCTTTAAGTTCTTGTTGGTACATATCTTCCACCATGGGTTTCCACAAACGAACCCTGGCATTAATGAACCAGTTTGATACCTGGAAACATAATAACACGTTCAATCCATCTGTGGCCTCAATATAAACCATTAGTATATTGCTATTTATGATTTACAGCATGCTATGCTACATAGCAATGATACTGCTACCATGTTTTATAAATGTTCCTGAAAATGAAATTTAAATATCTAGTTAAATTTCATTCTTGTCCCATTAATTATGCATGTATCTACCTTGTGTCCTTCCCCAATTGTCACGTTGTTATAAGTGAAAACTAAAGTTACTTCTGTACGAAATATTTTACTCTACTTTCACTTGGAACAGCACAATCTGGGTTATTTAATAGCAAGAATATAAACAATTATTAAATAAATACGGAAATTAAAAACAGATTATTATTTTTGTTACTAGTTTATTCTTTATTAATTGCTAATTAAATTATTATCAATCGATATAAGATAACGTAAGAATTTTGGTATACAAATAGTAAACTAACATTGTTAAAATGAGAAAAATGTTCTAATATATATATGTATGTGGATATAGACACACTAAAAGAAGTAGAAACTAATATGCAAATGCTTGTCACATTTGGTACATGCACAACCCAAACATTTGATCTTGACCTTCCATTATCTCTCTCTCTCTCTCTATATATATATATACTATATATATATATATATATATATATATATATATATATTCTTTCCTAAAACATATTCTCCCTCGAAAGTTTATATATATAAGAAGAGAATTTAAAAAAAAAAAGAAGATAATGAATAGTATGAATAATAGAATTTTTCGATTATAAAAAAAAATTATGACATTCATTTTAATCATTCAAGATAAAAAGGAAACAGAAAAGATTGCTTTCTGACTCATTGCTATTTGTCTCTCCATGATAAATTGTGTTTAGGCCATGAAATATCATCGCTGTGGTGTGACATAAAGGACAGCGAAATGACATATTTGAATTATAATGCAATTATATATAGTATCAATTCTAAAAGACAAAAATATTTATCAGCAGTTTCTTCTTAGAAGCTAGGGACAATGCAACGTTTGACCTAAGATATCAAAAGATTCCAGACTGTCCAGTCTTTCCTCATTTCACTGACTATTATAGGGTATAGGCATGCATGTAGAAGTTAGGAAGTTAATAGGCGTTCTCTTTATCCCCTTAATTACATGTGCTCAAACGTAGCAGTAGTTTTTGGATTTTGGTTGTTCAGGGAAAATACAAGGTACACTATTAATGCAGAATCTGCAGATCATGTACAAAAACCACTGGGAAGATCCAGGAGAAAAGTACTGCTTAATGAAAATAATCGATACCATATTTGTTACTATATGTAATGTGTTTTATACATCATTGTTGAAGGCATGGAGGCATATTTTTAGTTCTCTCTTATGTCTCTGACAGTTTTTTTATGTACAAAAGAGGACATTAATGATTTAGATAGAACGTGCCAAAATCAAGAATGAATCTTATCTTACGGGACTGTGAAATTCTAAACTGGCTGATTATGTAAAATTTGAAGGAAAGTAAACTAACATAATGAATTGGCAGAAAAAGTTGTATGAATACTAATATGGCATTTATTAGCCAAGTATAGAAGGTTGTAAGGAATTTACAACGATGAGATTATGATACCTCCAAGGATCATTTATTTCCCCTATTTATGGTCCCTATCGTGTAGTTGGGAGAAGTGAAGCCAATTGATATGAGAGAGAAAAAGAGCGACAGGGAGAGTGAACGAGATTCCAAACTATCATAATTCAATTTTTTAATATTTTAAAAATTGACACAAAACAGCAAAACTTCCATGTCTCATTGCTTCTGTACTTAGCCTGCTCTTTCCATTTCAGAATTCATGTCTCGAAAGAACATATTAATTTCAGAATTAAAGTCAAGAACGAAAAGAATCCCAAGTATATTAAAAAAAGAATAATTTTTGTCAAGAGAAAAATAAAAATAAAAAATATGAAGAAAGGAAAGAAACAACGAAACCCACGTTGGTGTTTGTCTTTCTCTAAAGGGAATATAAAGAGAGAAAAGGAAACCAGAGACACAAAGCCCAAAACCATGTAAGTTGCATCTGAACTTACTGCTGGTCCCTTCTCTTCTCTTCCGTTTTACTATTATTATTATGGTTTTTTAACGTATACACATGTTAAAAATATAATATATATATATATATATATATCTTATTATTATTAAATATTTTTATTTTAAATTTCTTAACGATATTTTTTACTTTAGTAAAAGTTTTGTTATTTCTCACGTATGTGGTCCGTGTGTGTAATTAATTAAATATGATTTATTATTATTATTACAGAGGGTAGGCTAGAGAAAAATTGTCTCTATCTGGTTTCAATTGTGGAAAGCTGAGAGTGGAGGGGACGAACCTGATTTCTCGATAGCCCAGTCTGTCGTGCCAACAGATGCTTATCTGCATCGCTTGGGTACCTGAGAAAGAGACCAGAAAATGACATCAGAGTCCTTGCCTTAACCGTATAAAGAGACACCCAGCTTTCTGTACCCTTAGCTGAGTATGAAACCTTTCTTTCTGTCCCTTCGTGGGCGTGAGAATCTAAGAGAAACAAAGAAAGATCTACGTCCTAGCTGCCATTGCAGAAGTAAAGTGTATCGCTGTACACACTGACCTCTACTTTATCCCCTCTTAATCACCCAACTTAATGTGCTTATCTCTCTCTTCTCTTCAATATAACACTGAGAGAATCATACCAAAATTTATTATTATTGCAGTTAAAACAAGAGATGCCTACATCTACATGCATGTATAAATATTACTTACTACTCAGCTTTTAGCTTCCAACCTTATTACATGCATCCCAAGGACTCTGCAGAATTAATGACTGTTCTTAACCATCCTATGCGTAATGGCTTTTAGATTCCCACTTTCGGTCTTTCCCTCTGCGACTCTTTTTTACGCTTTGTTAATTAACGGAAGCTCTGCTACTTTTTTTCCCCGCTATTAATCACGGTATCTATCTATCTATCTATCTATTGTACTGTGTGTTATGCTTTTCACATTTTAAAATTAAATGTCATTTTGTCACGGTCCCTCTTGCTCCCATTCTTTCAATCATTAACTCTCTTTTCTCTTCTCCCAAGTCTAGACCACATTTCTCTCATAATTGTCTGAGTTAAATTAAATGGCATCCTTCTCATATATACAACCCTTTTATTTTAATTTTTCAACTGATAATTAGAAATTACCCCGTTTTATTCTTAAACACAAAATTTGTAAATGATGCAACAATTAATCCTACTCATTTAAGTTCTCTTACCCTAAAGGATACATATTTAATGGCATGGGGATTCACTTATATATGCTCCAAATTTTACACCTTAAATTAAAAAGCTATAATCAAGATTAAAAATATGAAGATACTCCTCCGGGTCAATTCTAAGTACGACTTGTTGTGTATGTAACTAACAATAATGAGAGAGAGAGAGAGAGATGGAAAAGGAAACGACGTACGGATGAAGGAAATGCTCGAAAAGCCAGGCTCTCAAAATGTTGACAGAACGTTCGGGCAACCCTCTCTGGGGTCTCCAAGCTTCCTGTTCCATCATACCCATTTGGTGGAACGCTCTTTGCTGTCTTAAGCTTTGTTCAAGCAACTTAAGTCTTGGGGTCTCTCCTTTGGTCAATCCTGAGGTCCCTGCCCCATCTTTCTCTCCCAGCAAGTCACAGCTATGCTTCAATTGCGCTGATATCGCATCCTTTAGACACCGAAAATGACGAGACATTGCTTTCTGTGCTAGCGCTGTGTATGGAACCGCTGCACCAAAACCCATCACCAGGTCAAATGAGTTCACCACCATATGCATTTGTTCGCAGTAGTGGCTGTATCTTCGGTCCACCTGCACAACCCCAATAATTATTTACACCGTCAAAGAGATATAATCATAATATGATTATTAATTATTATAAGATGCAATGTTGAAAGTACAACTTGTAATGGGTTGAAGACATGCATGTTCTCGTTTACGCATATTCATTGTTCGGTATGTGAAAAGCTAGACGAACCGACGAAATATTAAGGAAAGAAATGGGTACATGCATAATTTAATTAAGAATGAGAAATATGGCGGGTTAATTAACTCATGCAAATAGTGAAACATAAACACACGTGTGTGTGTGTGTGTAATATATTTATAGATGTTCGCAACTTCTCATTTAAGTGTTTGAATTTGGTGAGACATTTTTTTCTGAATTAAAAAATGAAAAGATAGGGAGGAGCATAAACGTGTGGAAAATAAGGAAACTTATGGGTATGCACAGTACTGTGAATGCCAATGAAGAGTGTGCTTGTGTTCTTTCTGTGTGAAAAAAGTTATAAGAAGATTAAATTAATAAAATTAAGAAAAAGAAAAAACTGCTCTCTCCCGATTCCACCGAATCATCTGAGATATGAACAATGACTTTCACTTCAATATTATTACGATGGGTATGGATCTGAGTGGGCAATGCCATTTCTAACAACTTGCTATGCAATAATATATATGATTGGTGAGTACCCTCCTTCTGTTTGGTATGTCTTAATAATCAGAAGAAACGTCGCTTCTTGATGGACGTATTCTCCTATAATGGTAGTGTCCCGGTTTCAAACTTTCACCAAACTCTATTTTTTTCTTTTGTTTATAAAAAACTCAAAAGACTATAAAATCTTCCTACCAATCGAATCGGGAGATTAAAAAATTGAGTTACGATTAAAATAACGATCAAATCCATACCAACTGATCCTAAGGAGTGGAACCCTACTGTATCAGCCGGCTTTTTCCTTTCTTGAATTTAAGATACTCGCTGCAGGACTGTGTTTTATTAATCAACTAAACAAATAATAAGGAAAAAAGGCAAAAGAAAGATAACCGAAGACCCTTGACTCTTGAAGAATGAGAGAGGGTAAGAAGAGCACACACAGAGAGAGAGAGAGATTACATGCCTCGTCAAGCATGGTTAGAAGTTTGACCTTCCTCCTTTGATGTTCAATCCTATCAGCCGCTGACAAAGGAGGAACATCCTTTGATGAAGAATAAGAACCGCCGCCGCCACCACCACTAGCTCCGGGGTTAGAACTAGGGTTTGAGAGTTGCCTACTGAACTTGTTCTTCTTGAACTGGCCCCTCCCAACACTGCAAAACTCTTCAAGCAATTCTTGAGCAGCCTTGACATACTTGGAATTCCTCAACACGTTAACCACACCTAAGGATGGTGTTGATGAAGATGCTCCATACCCAACATGTCCTTGCTGATTCTGTCCAATCCCTCCTTGTTGTATATGCAATGCTTGGTGGTGATGACCGGCGAGATTCTTATAAGGATATTGAGCAGAAGAAGAGGGTCCTCCTCCACTAGCTTGATTGAAATACAAAAACCCACTATCCCCCATCCTCAATTCCTCAGCTTTTGCCGCTTCCAAAGAAGAAGAAAGGGACAAGGAAAGACCTTGGCCATGGCCTTCCACAACAGTGCTTGTGCCTCCTTCTTGTGAAGTGTCAGGGACCCATGAGAATTGACCAAAAGACCCTCCAGTTGTTGAACCAGGAGGGAAAGTGGGAAGCAACATGTGAAGAGTGGAAGAAGAAGCAGAAGGAGGAGGGGGTGAAGGGGATCTGGTTTGTGGGTTCATGAGAAAAAGCTGCATGGCAGCTGCAGGGTCAGCATTAATGTTTGACATCTGATGATGATGATGGTGGTGGTTGTGATGATGATGATGATGCTGATGCTGAACCATGCTGCTGCTGCTACTACTGTCACGGCTATGATGATGATGATTCTTTGAATCTCCCAACGGTCCCAACCCAGTTAACATCCCTTGTCTGTTTCCGTACCACTCGCTGCCACCACTGCCCACTGTCCTTGTGGAGGAACGAAACGTCGTCGTCATTGATTGTGGTTGCTGCTCCAATAATTCGGCGCCGCCGGCACCGAAATTGAACATCTCCGATAACATGCCTTCGTTTTCGTACACTGGGAGGCTTCCTGATTCCTCTTCTTCTATCGGAACTAACGTTGTTTGTTGTGGCTCAAACCCTTGCACCCTGACTTTCTCCCTCCGAATCTGTTGTTGTTGTTGTTGTTGTTCTTGTGTTACCGTCGTGGATCTCTCGAACCCATTCGGGAAGTTGAAGATTCCTTGGTGGTGGTGGTGGTGGTAATCTTGGGACATAGAATTCAAATGGTGTTGCTGTTGGTGTTGGTGTGTCTTTGAGAGAATGGAAGGAAGCGATGAAGGTGTTGCTATTCCCATGTTAAGATCTTGTTCCTCCTCATCATATTCATCGTCATCATCATCTAATTCGCTTTGTAGTTAATCGAATTGATCAAGGATCAGCTCCTGAATATGCAAATCTGACAACAAACACACCCACATCATGGAAATAAAATGAAAAGAGAAAGGGGGGGGGGGGGAATGGATTTATAGAGTGAGTGAACACAAGCTCTACCTAGCTATGCCCCTCTCATTATTCTTCTTCTCACCTAAATGGTAATTACTAATTTTCCTTTAATCATCATTTTCAGTTTCCTTCATCATCTCATGTACACACATATATACACACACATATATATGTTATATGTACCTCTTTAGAGCTGAAGAGTATGAAAGGATGTAAAGCTCTCAGACATCGTTTTCCCTTCTGCGGTATTGAAAGCTTCTTCAATTCCTTCTCTCTCACAAGCACACTCTCATACATGTACATATACTCTTTCTCTCTCTGTGTTGTCGCTCTGTCGTCTGTGGTCTCTTTCTTTCTCTTTCGATCCTTTACTTTCTCTTTGTTGCTCTTTGCAGTAAGTGTTTTTACAATCGCCTTGTGGAAAAAGAAAGATGGAAGTTGCTCACAATATATAAAATTATAAATGGAGGCTTCGGGGGCGACTCATATATCTGTGTCAAAAAAAACGTAGTGTGTGTGAGAGAGAGAGAGAGAGAGAGATGAGAGAGGAAAGAGAAGCGGTCGCTGTTCTTCCTCTTCTTCGGTCTTTCACCTCCTCCTTTAGTATTTTCCCCCACCAATAATGCCATTTTATATTTTCATTTCTTCAATATTAATTACAAAAAAAATATAACATAAATATGTTGGTAATAAATTAATTGCAAGCAAAAGAAAATATTCATGCTATGGAATGACGGGAATGCCCTTGTCAATTCTAGAGAATTATTTAATAGATATACAAGGAACACATTTGTTGGAATTGCATGTCATAACGAAGAAATTTAAACTGAGGTTGTGAGGGAAAACTATATACTACCAAATTATAGGAGAGTGAGTATACAGAGAACGATGTAGTTTGTTCTAAAAAAATTATAAACTAATATTATTTTATTAGTGTCGTGTATAATTGACAACATAGAGAATATTAAGGGAACGTTGGAATTCATCTCAACGAGAATATTTTGCGGAGATTTTACAATGGTTTGATTTGGTTTTGGTAACTTGAAATGTCCATAACGCCACGACCAAGTGTTGGATTTTATTGGCATTTGAATTACGCCCTTTGCAAACCAACGCAAACTACGGAATAAAATAAAGATAAGGTCAGTACAAAGTCATCTCAATGATCCAAACTACCCCCATCTTTTTGATAGTTAGAATGGCCATAATGTCCTAGATAATCATTGCAGATGGGGTTAGGAGCCCCATAACAGGTGAGGACATTAAGGTCATTTAAATGCTAGAAATTCATTGATTAATAGCCCAAGCCATGTAAGATAGGAAAAGAGGAGAGAGAGAGTCTGATAAATAGGGAAGGCTAAATAAAGTAGATGAATGGCACGTGCCATTGGATGGGCAAAACAGACAAGTTAGGTTTAATTGTGTGGGAGACATAGCTTCTGAAAAGCACTCATAACCGCTTTAAGGTTTGGCGCTGTCACTGATAGCCATGTTCATTTTCCCTTTTGGTGAAGCCTTTGTTTTTTACAGGTGTTTTTTATGTTTAGCCTTCTTATACCTGCATTTAATTATCATCTTGGAATGGTGTTATAAGTGCAAACTTTAACTTCTAATCACTCATCACTACGGAAAATGAATGATATGCAAGCTACTCCTTGGATGAAGCCTCACATTTAATTCTATTTGGAATTAAAATGATAGTTATATGAAGAATGTTTACAATTGCGCATGTCTGCATTTTGGGTCTATTACATCAAAATGTTTGCTGTAATTAAAGGTGTAACGGCCGGTTTGTGACAAGTTTTCATGTCTCTGTTAGCTAGGAGAATAGTTTTGTTTCAAAGTGGTTTCTAAGGTTTCAGCAAAATACACACACAGAACATATATAATTAATATATAAAAAAAACCAGTATAAGTCTATTAGATTAATTTTAGGTGTTTGATAATAATAAATTGTTGTTAAAATAAATATTTATTATATAAAAATGAAAATATGATAAATCTTTTTTTTAACATTAATTAGTGTCTTAAAAGTATTAGTACAAAATAAAAAGTAAAAAATTGATATTAAAAATTATTAATATTTTTATTGATGTATCTTAATGTAATTTTTAATAAATTTATGTATTTATTTCATAACTATTATTTTTATAAACTTAAAATTGTGCATAAAGACGGTTGATAAAATCACTAATATATTAAATAATTGAGGAAATCTTATTAAGATACATATTAAAAATAAATTAATGAGTATAATAACTAGATAACTCCTTATATTTTGTTTACAATTCTTTTTTTGATAAAAAAAAAATCAAACAGAGCAAAAAAAATGTATTCATATAATTTTTTGTATCAGACATAAGTTTTATTTCCCTTTATACTTTCTTACAAAATTGGTTGGAAGAAACTTATTCTAAGCAAATTATTTCAGGAATAACTTTTAGAAAGATAGATTTTCAATGTTATGTATAATTATTTTCATATTAATAAATTTTGTGGTACTTTTAAAAATTTTCAGGATATGAAAAATTCTAATTAATAATATTTAGACATGTATTTAAATAATAAACTTATTTAATAATAAATTATTATATTTGCTACATTTGAATAAGTTAAAAATAATTAAGTCTTCGAATAAGAGCAAGATACAATCAAAATTAAATTAACTAAAATTTAAAAATAAAATAACAATATTATACTAATATATTTTTTATATTTTTTATTTTATTATTAATAATATTTAATTATTATATTAATATATTATATTATAGTTTTTTATTTATAATAAATAGAAATTATATTTTATTTAAAACTAAAAATATTTATACACGTATTTAAATAATAAATTTGTTTAATAATAAATTATTATATTTACTACATTTAATCAAGCTGAAGAGGAGTTAAATCTTTTAATAAAATAAGATGCAATTAAAATTAAATAAACTAAAATTTAAAAATAAAATAATAATATTATATTAATATATTTTTCATATTTTTAATTTTATTATTATTAATATTTAATTATTTAATTATTCTATTAATGTATTTTGTTATAATTTTTTTATTTATAATAAATAGAAATTATTTAACTATAAATTATATTTTATTTGAAACTAAAAATTTATAAAAAATAATAAAAAATGAAATAAAAAATTTAATATACAATATATATATAATAATAAAATTATATAACAAATAATATAATTTTAAATAAATTATATATAATAATATAATTTTAAATAAATTATATATAATAATATATTTTTTAATTTATCACGTATTATTTTATTGATATAAATTTTTTAATATGATACTCATAAAAATATTTTAGAGTACTATAGTAGACACTGTTTAATATTTTATTGAAACGCGGGTTTCCATGTTGGTGTGAAAGGAAATGACTTATCAATTTTTTGTTAATAGCAAGTGGTTCGGGTGACATATGCATGTGGCATTTCCCCATGTAGAATATGGTGCTCAGTCGATTGATGTAGCCATGATACCATCAATCCTAGCAATAGTATAAGCTCCCATACTATTTTGCCCATACATTACTTTTATTTACTTGCTAATGGGATCTTAATTTTTTCTTTACCAAAAACTTGTATATGCATGTGATATTTTCCCATGTAGAATATAGTGCTCAGTCGATTGATGCTCACATACTATTTTGCCCATATATTACTTTTATTTATTTGCTAATGGTATCTTAATTTTCCCTTTACGATAAACTTGTACAATACCGTTCCTATCCTTTTTTAATCTATCTCTCTCTTGGATTTAAGTTGAATTTATAGTCTTATAAATGGAGACAAGAGTTTTAGCAAGCATGTAGTGTAGATATATGTCCTTAAACAAGCAAATTAATGCACATAAGAACAAGAGGCATGAATTAACTTTGCAATCTTCGATCCATAGGAACAAAATAAAATATTTAAAAAAACAATATCTATACTTTACAAAGTTTTAATCAAATTATGAGTAACTTTTGAATTTATTTTAAAATAGTATAATGCGACTTACCTTAATTTTTTTTAAATAATTGTATTTTCAAAATATAACTCTCAAAATAAATATTTTTTTATACATATAATTTGACTTTTTTTAAAAATAGAAATCATATACGATATATTCTTTCTATTATAATTAAATTTTTATATTTTTAATATTTATGATTTAATTATTATAATAATTTAAGTATATTTTAATAAATTAATTATTAAAATAATTAAATAGTTTCATTGTAATTTTTTCTTATTTATAATGTATGAAAAATAAATAAATACACAATGAGATGGATATATTAAGTCTAGTTAAAATTTAAAAAATGTGAATTGTGTTGAATTGAAGGTCATAACAGAAGTAACTCTCCACCGTAAAAGTACCATGAAATTAAATAATTATTATATAATTTTGATAAGTGTAATTTTTTTAATATAATTTACCTTTAACATAATCTTAGTCATTTTTTATTCTAAATTTTTTAAAAAATAATATTAATAAATTAATTTTATAAAAATATAAACTACAGTCTCAATAAATAAAATTATCATTAAATAGTACACTATTTAATTATTTAATAATTAATATATTAAAACATAATTAAATTATAAATATTAAAATAAATAATAACTTAATTATAATAGAAGTCGTACATCATATCTGCAACTTCTCTTATTACACTGAAATCGTATACATGATATATATAAGAGTTGTATAATATATATATATATATATATATATATATATATATATAAATTAATATAAGTGGTATTTATATTTTTAAAACAATAAAAAAAATTAAAAAAAAGTCGTATATTGTGTAAAATTATATATGTAAATTTTATGACAATATTATAAGAATCAATGATTAAATTGATAAATTTTAATTTTTATAAAAAAATGATTAGATATATTATTTGATCGTAATAAAAGATTAAGATTGATTTTACTTAAATTTTATCTTAATTATCTGGTGTTGATTGATCAGGACGATTAATTGTTGTCATACATGGTACAGTCTTATTTAATATGCAAACATATGGTAGGGAATTCATAGGAGATGGGATAACAATTAATATTTATGTTATAACAAGGAATAAAAATGGATGATTAGAGTATTTATCTAAAGTGTACATATGTTTGTATAAGTTAATTGAAGTCATTGACATTTACAAGCAACCTTAAGCATATGCAAGTGTAGACTTGCAGAAGAATGCATAGCAAGCTCATCTTTCTTACACCATGGATGGTATAAACATATAAAAATGATAAATTGTGGACGCTTAGGAGTTAACTATGGTTAGCATGATTCAGAGGTAGTTCTATAAATAGAAAAAAGAAATAATTGGTAGAAGGGTTCCATTGGAGGGTTGGATTATAAACAAAAGAATAGGATTAATAAATGGGATTTTGTATGGTTTCTTGGATTGCAAGTAGGATAATTGAATACGGAAAGGGGAGAAAGTAGGAATAGTCTTCTTTCAATGGAAGTAGCTAGTTATACCTAGCTCTCAAACCTTAAGACTCCAATTTACTACTCATTACTCAAACACCCAATTGAGAGAGGGAAACGAAACACTTTGCTTTTCTTTTTCAACTGCAA